GTGTAATCCTTACGGCAAAAAAATATGGCTCGGAATATAACAATGTTTGGAGACATGACAGGAACTGTTTATTTTAAAAAGTCCTTTGTGGTTGAATTTGTAACTTAACTATGTGTACAACTTGTAAACTAATTTTTTGCATCAATGTTGCTCTGCTTTTACCAGTAGTAATGATGTATCAATAAACTTTTGCCCAATTTTTATTTTCGTCCCCGTAGTCTCATAAGGAGGTATACTGATAATCTTAACGGGTAACTGTTTGTGAAAATTAAAAACAACTAAAAGTCTGCCTTACAAGTACGTAGTTTATTATAAAAACTTGTAACAGTGCATCAGTTCAGAAGTTTCGCCAAAATGTTGTGTTGTATATATAAGTTTCTTCACTATGATAGTATATTTGGATGAATACTAACAAGATTTATAGTGCAAAAGACTGAGTACAGTTGTTATCTTTATGTTTAAATAATCCATTAGATGAAGAAATGTGGCAATAGTCAATATTAAACACAGTTATCGTCAATATGAAAGTTGTTTCTTCACATAGTTTTCCATATACAGAAATTCTATAAGTTGTTTATCGGTATAGACTTGATTATTATAAAGGTTTGAGCCTTTCAGTTAGTTGACAGAAGCCATAAGTTGTGTATCAAAAAATCTATGGGTGCCTCCCTAGCTTAATGCAATTCTGAAAAACAACAAATGAATCGTGAAACAAATGATTAAACTTCGTTATCTGTATCAAATTCAATAAGTAAATGAAATATCAGCTAACAGAATGTACCTAAAAGTGACTTACTTGTTGTAAACAATGCTTTTATTTTCTAACCCTTCTAGAATTTCAACTAGTCATTTCGTATTTCCAACGGAATTGCAGGCAACAAATAAACCATATCAAAAGATTCAAGTAGTATAATGAAATTTCAGAAACATTCAATTATAGTGTTCACAATACTATTAGCAATTCATGGTTTACATACAAAAATGACATCATTGATAAGCACTAGTTAGATATTACTCGTTAATGTGCATCAGCTCTTTGTTTATAATATGGTCAGTGATTACGGATTCTTCCTATAGAAATTAATTCTGAACCTCTATAACAGACGCATAATAAATTCGTATTAACTAATAACAGGCGATGTTTCCTTAGGAGAACTGATTGGAAACATCTTCAACACTATGGTGTACATGAGAAGGTCGTCAACATCATCCCGAATTCATATGACGGACTACAGTGCAAATTCGTGTACGGAGGAAAGCTGACAGATGCATTCCAAGTGATTATCGGGGTCAGACAAGGCTGTTTACTCTCTCTTTTCCTCTTCCTTCTGCTGGGCGACTGGATTATGGAGACCTTCACATCTGAGCTGATGCATGGAATTGGTTTATAAATTTGATGCAAATAGATGATTTTGACTTCACAGATGACCTGGCCCTTCTATCCTATACACATGAAACAATTCAGCTGAAGACAACGAGTGTAGAAGCAGCCTCTGCATCAGTGGATCTCAACATACACAAGGGAAGATGCAATATTCTCAAATACAACACGGAAAACCAACCCGATCACACTTGATGGAGAAGCTTTGGAAGATGTGCAACCTTTACTATAACTGACCCGAGCTGCATCATCGATGAGCAAGGAGGATCGAATGCAGACGTAAAAGTGAGGATTGGAAAAGGAAGGGTCGCATTCCTGCAATTGAAGAGCATATGAAACTCAAAACAACTCTCAGCCAACTTATAAGTCAGAATCTTTAATCCGAAAGTCAGGATGGTCCTACTGTATGGAACTGAAACGTGGAGAACTATTACAACTATCATCAAGAAGGTCAAGTATTTATAAACAGTTTACTACATGGATACTCAATACCCGTTGGTCGAATGCCATCAGCAACAGCCTACTGTGGAAGAGAATAGATCAACTTCCATCGAAAAGGAAATTAGGAAAAGATATTAGAGTTAGATAGGAAATAAATTGAGGAAATCACCGAACTGGATCACGAGGCAAGCCCTAACTTGAAATCCTGAAGGAAAACGGAAAAGAGGAAGGCCAAAGAACACACTGCGTTGAGAATTAGAAGCAGACAAGGAAACGATGAACAGTAACTGGAAAGAACTGGAAAAGTTCGCTCAGGATAGATTTGGATGGAGAATGCTTGTGAGTGACCTGTGCTTCTCCACTTAGGGTAACAAGCGTAAGTAAGTAAGTAACAACATCGTTTAGTTATCACACTCGAAACGAACAAGCATCGTTTTACTTATGAAGAATATGTCACTAATTAATGTGACACCAACAGTGATATTATATACAGCGGGCAAAAGTGGATATCAACATCAATTGTTACTCATATGATTATTCTTTCTCAGATAAGTTATATATTGATATGTCAGTTTCACCAAAAAGATGATACTTATAATGAATAGAACTGTTTATGGTTGTACACTAGTAACTTATATAATGTTCAAAAATAGTTAATCACCAGCATATTTGGGGATGTGAATAAAATGTTACAAGTATTAGAGTTCATTGTCACTTGAAAAATCTGACTGTGTTCTATTTTTTGACTCGATAAATAGTGAATTTCACTTGCTTGGGTTTACATTATTACAAATAACCACATTAGGCTGACTTAACATTCACCCAAGTAGTGAGCAACGGCTACGTTAAACTACTGATTAACTGGAATAAAAGCTGTGTAACAAGCAAAAATATTACGAAAATTGTCGTGTGACGGCAAAAATGATGTTAACAGCTGATAAATGATGACATCCAAACTACTCGATATCATGTAACATTTGCACGAGGACTCGCAGCATACCTTTTTTACTGTCCCTAACATTAGATTAGTCAAAAAAATCAACTATATGAGTTTTTATATAGTTAAATCAATTCATAAATAAATCAACAAAATTGATCCCTACGAACTTCTTTGTAATTATCCTAAGAGCCGAGACATATTCAATTAACCATAAACAGTGAAGTAAATCTTTAAATTAAACTGATCAAGATCTTTTATTCTTTATCTGATAATTGCCGTTTAATTATGTTCTGATACTTAAATTTTGGAAACATGTAAATCATTAACAATAAACAATAAATTATCCAATAACAAAATGAAAAAGTAACCTAACAATTAATCAACTCTTTTATTTACTGAGGTAAGTTTATGAAATAGAATATTCTTTGTTTATTTATCTTTATGTTTTAATAATGATGAGAATTACTGGGAAGATTTAATGTATGTTTATTTAGTCTCTTTTAAAGTAAAAATACAAAGCTATTTTTTTTATCCAGTATCTTCAATTGAATGATAATTTCACAGTTGATAATTGAACAATATAAATATAGATGCCTTTAGGGAAAAAATACTGGAGAGGAATTAATACATATATGTATATGTATTAGTTTGCAAGATCAAGGTGAAGGTCAAGTGATGAAATGTTTGTTCATTAAACAGGATCTATAAATTATTGATATGAAGTGTATCCTTATTTATCATCATTTTGATAAGTTAAACATGGTTAACAAACAGGTCGATCTATAGCATTTAAAAGACTTTTAAGTATACATAGAATGTGAATAATAATGTTATCATTTAAGGTATCTTAATATCGGAGAACTTATTTGAAGGCATAAAACAATAAGACATATTTGATACTCATCTAGTGAATCACATTAAAATAAATAAATTTATGATCCCAAAATTATGAGTAAAAGAAACCTTATGACAAAAGACTTTGGCAACTGATATAGTGTATAATCTTTAATGTTTAAATTTTATCTTGTAATGAGTCTAAGTGTTATTCCTAATCATCTTAAGGAATAGATACCAATATTGAAAGAACACATAAGAATAATTATTTTATATTGTTGTCAAAGTTTACATTTTTCTCCTATATATTGCATGACTGCATCATTTAATCTCTAAGACAGCAGGTTTATCTAATTATCTAGTTATTTTAAACTCAGTCAAATACACTTCCTTGTTTACACTACTAGCCGATATCAAGAATGATTACATCACTCATTTTATCAAAAATTAAAAATAATTGTTTTAAACAAGCAACCAATGATGGATTCTTACTTACTAACTTACGCCTGTTACTCCTAATGTAGTCTTTATGATCCAGTCGATCACCAGGAGGGTGAGAGTAAGCAACCTTGCCTGACACCGGTCTTTAATTCGAACGACTCCGTCAATTGTCCTCCATGCACGATTTTGCGGTTTAATCCATCATAGCAATTACGTATGATATTGACTATCTTCTGAGGTATGCCGTAGTGTCGAAGAAGTTTCCATAGTGTTGTTTTGTCCACGCTATCAGACGCTGTGGAATGATGAATTCCATTCAGTTGATTGTTCCACAATGATCCGTAGAGTTTCGATTTGGTCTGTACACGATTTATCCTTACGGAATCCTGCCTGTTGGTCACGAAGTTGGGCGTCTATGCAGTCCTTCATTCCGTTTAACAATACCCTGTTGAAGACTTTTCCCGGTATTGAGAGAAGGGTGATGCCCCTGTAGTTATCACACTTGCTCAGATCGCCTTTCTTCGGTATTTTGATCAGAAGTCCTTCTTCCCAGTCTTTTGGTACTTGTTCCTCATCCCAAATCTTATTGAAGAGAATGTGGAGCATCCTTGCACTTGCCGCTACGTCTGCTTTTAGTGCCTCTGCTGGGATGTTGTCTGTTCTTGCTGCTTTGCCACTCTTGATTTGTCTGATGGCCATGCTGATTTCTTCAATTGTTGGTGGGCCAACATCGATTGGGAGGTCCGTGGGTGCTGCTTCGATGTTGGGTGGGCTCAGTGGGGCTGGTCGATTCAAGAGTTCTTTGAAGTGTTCTACTCACCTGTTTCGTTGTTCTCCAATATTGGCGATTACCTTGCTGTCGTTGCTTTTCACTGGTCGCTCCGGTTAACGGTGATTTTCAGAGAGCTTCTTTGTCGTGTCATACAATTGTCTCATGTTTCCTTCTCTTGCAGCCTTTTACGCTGTCGTTGCTAAATCTTCCACATATTTACGTTTGTCAGTTCTGATGCTCCTCTTCACTTGTTTGTTTACTTCTGTGTATTCAGCTTGTGCCTTGGCTTTTTCTGCTCTTGTTCGACTGGTATTGATTGCTGCCTTCTTGTTCCTCCTTTCTTGAATCTTACCCAGTGTATCAACAGTGATCCATTCCTTGTGATGGTGCTTCTTGTGACCCAGGACCTCATGACATGTTGAAGTGATTGCAAATCTCTCACCATTTTTGTTCCTTTCTCCCAGTCCTTGTCGTCCCATGATGTATTCATATCCGGTGTTGCCCATTCCAAACTTGGCATTGAAATCTCCCATCAGAATGGTCAGGTCCTTTGTTGGGCACTTCTCGACGATTGACTGCAGCCTATCGTAGAATCGGTCATTAGCGTCTTCATTGTAGTCGTTGGTAGGCAGATAGCATTGGATGATGTTCATTGAAATGCCCTCTTTCTTTGTCTTGAACGAGGCTTTGATGATCCTTGGTCCATGAGATTCCCATCCTATGAGTGCATTTTGTGCTTGTTTGTACAGCATCAATGCTACTCCTTGTGTATGTGGGGCATTTTCTTCCTCATGGCCGGAGTGAAGCAGAAGCTCCCCTGAAGCTGGTCGTTGTTGCCCAACTTGCGTCCAGTGTGTTTCACTGATCCCAAGCACCTTAAGGTTGTATCTTCTCATTTCTTCAGCAATTTGGAAGACTCTCTCGGTGTCTCACATCGTAGGAGTATTCCATGTACCTAAATAAGTGGTCGCTCTGGTTGTCAGAAAGGGGAATCGGCCATGTGACCTCCGGAGGAATTCGGCTTTCATCATTATGCGTCATAGTTCTTCTTAATGAAGATCTCCTGACTCCTAGAGAAGAGTTTAAATGGTTTTAATGATTTTTTCTGGTTAGATTTTTAGCGAGTTAATTTTCTACGGGATGGGGTCGCTAACCCCATGCTTAACTCTCCTCCTTTATCCGGGCTTGAGACCGGAAGTAGCCCCCGGAGGGATTCCAGGCGGAGTTAATAACGGATTCTAATGTTTGTATATTTGAAAAACTTGAAGTTACATTTATATTATTAAGAATATAAAAACAAAAAACGATCTAGCTTATCACGTTCAATTAACCAATGAAATAATGATTATAATAGAACATTTGACTCAGCTATTAAAATGGCAAATCTTGATTTGTTAATCCGTGAATAGTTTCTTACTGGTTGTTTCTTTGTTGTTTGTACTGTACTTAACTAATAATAATTTTTTATCTCGCTTTCGCCCGCGAGAACGATACGTCCTAGGTTGGAATCCCACGTGGATTGATAGTGGATGCGCACTGCTGAGGAGTCCCATACTAGGACGAAACGGCCGTCCAGTGCTTCCAGGTTTTCCGTGGTGGTCTAGCTTCGATTGATTCATGAATTCAACCATAAAAATATTATTTCATTATTAATTAGGAAAGATTAGTTCAGCGAAGAGTTCTCTTTTCGACGAAACTCATTCTCAAAGCTGCACAATCGCAAATATATATACCTATTTTTACAGGCTGATAATTATACTGATGATAAACTTGTTATACATGGTGACAGTGAGGCTAAATAAACAAAGGTATTAAAAAGATTTTAAAACGAGGAAAGTTTAATAATCGTTTGATTGTTAATGGCTCAAGTATTCATCAAAAGATAGATAGGGAAATTATCATTGGGAAAGGATGGTTCAGCATGATATGATAAAATGTTGAAATTGAGATTAAATGTAATCAGGAGGATCGTAGAAACAAAATAAAACATTTAAGGCTAGAGGATTTAAGGGGAAGATGGAAAGTGAAGCAGATGGCTGTAAAGGAACAAGAGTATGAAAAAGAGAGGAAAAAATTTAATGCATTAAGACCATGGTAGAAGGAGAGGTTGTACCAATCTCTTTTGCACACACAAATCTTGTTTTTCCAGATGTATGGTTGTTGCTTCGGCAATGCAAAGAAGATGTAGTCTAATTGTCTTAGGAAGACTTCTACTTACCTTGTAGATGACTTTGAACCCAGAGTCTGTCTTGATTGAATGACCTGTGTTCACAAGGTGTTCGATTATAGAACTTCTTATTGAGCCATTGCCTCCTCTTTTTAGCCACGCCGGACAATGTTCTTGAATTCTTTAGTATAAAGTACGCATCGAACGACATATAAACCAAGTTTTGAGACCCGTTTGATCTGACTCCATTTAGAGCGTACGAATGTTTGTTACCGCCTATTCTCGTATATAATCGTCGACTTAAATCGCGTTATCCAATAACGGAATTAAATAAGTCGAATAACGAGAATTGATTTGAGAATACATATATTTCGTACATGAAGTGAATGAAGCACAGCAAAGCAAAAATGACACGTATGGAAGATGGCTGGGAAGCCAACTCCATTTTAGTCAAGCGTTACTCAATATTTATAGTCAGACAAAAATAAACTACAAACATGTGATGAGTCATGGGATATGAAGTGTACACACATATACGCTCATATATAAAAAGTCAAGACTGATAAGCGAATAATTGACAAGGTCAAAATATGACTCAAGTAGAATGAATAAAATGGAATGTCCGAAAACTAGAATATAAGATATATGGGCTTAAAATAATGACTGACACTACATAGCCCCCTCGTAGAAAATAGCACATTTAAAAAATGTCTGTTTTCGAAAATAACACTGAAGTGATATGAAGCTAACGTTAACAATAAGTAGCGAAAAAAATTGTACAACACTCGATAAAGTACAGCGTCACATGAGGGGTGAGTGTATTATATGAAAATGTTATACTTATGCAAAAGAATACATGAATATCGAAAAGGCGCGGACAAAAATGGAAACGTTAGCATGCGAATATGAGCAAATTAATGAGCGTACAAAAAATTAACATGTACTAATGCTATGACTGTCTGAACGATAAAATAACAAGTTTGTATGAGCGATTCAAAATATCGTGAAAATAGTAATAAATTGTTTGTGGGTATGACAGGGAAATAAATCGTCAAAATGAGTAAAGTAGAATATGACAGAAATTGGTCTGTGATGCTGACAAAATAGTGAAATATGCGAAATATATGTTCTGTTGAGCCGCAGCAGAATAAATAGCATCGACTAGCGACGAGTGAATTCGAATTTAAATGCGTAGTTCCCGTTCGTAGGATGATAATAGTTAAGTCGTGAAATGATATCTGCATCGACGGGTGATATTCGTTGCTGTACTGCAATTGATAATAACCATAAAATTTGAAGTCAGTGAATGTTGTCGTCTGCGTTATGACAGATGCATTGAGTTATCGTTAAATATGTATTAGTAGAAGAATGACCAGAGGAACAGAATAGTGACTGAGTAGACGAGGTACGTAGAGTCGTATTCCTTTTTGGTCATGAAGCCTAGAGTGGTTTGTGTGGTTTGAGGGAGATGCGCTCGATCTCGTTTGTTACAAAACCGTACCAAGGCATGACAAAAATACCAATACATATGGTTAGCGATGGCGACGTATGAGACTGACTTGGATGTGACGAACAAGAGTGTATCTTTGAGAGACTAGCTCTAAACTCTATGTTCTGATATACCGTGCGATGGGTATAGAATAGTAGTTGCAGTACTCGAATAGCGTTTTCGAATGATAAGTGATGCAGCATGTAGTTATGCACGTGGAAGAATAGATAAAATGAACGTAATGGTTACTAATCAGCTAGTTAGAAGCATCCACAGACATAATAAGAGACGATTTCGAAATGAAAAATGTATGTTATGATAACATAAATTGCTGACCTCGACTAAGTGAATGAATGCAATATTAGGTCAAAATGACATGAAAAATTGGAACGAACTCACTTAAAGCAGGAAAATTTCACGTTTTTGAATAGTAAAAATATCCCAATGAGTTCTCACAAAGTGGAGTGGAATTTTCATAAAATGATAATTTGTTCGGTGAGTGATATGATTGCGAAAATGTCAATTTAGTGACAGCACGAACAAGATTAATAATTCCACATTCGGTCATGATATTGGCAATAATGTAATAATAAGCATATAATTATAATTTGAATCGTAATGGAACAAACCGACGAATGGATCAATGAGAATGGTTGACATGAGTACAAAGTATCGATAAGATAATACGACATGAGCATGTCCATACCATGATGCACAGGCTTTGCTGATTGCGTCGGATTGGATATTTCGCTGGCTTCGCTGAGTTTGTTCGTCGAACATATAGAGTGCAGAAGTTCCTTCATCGACGTAGCCTGCTGCGTTGCGTTCGTCGTCGGCGGGCTTACCAATTTGGTGGCCCGTAGTTTGATTTTGTCCTCGTTTAGATCGGAAGATGTTCGTTGAAGGGCTCACCATTTTAGTGGCCCGTTTGATCTGACTCCATTTAGAGCGTACGAATGTTTGTTACCGCCTATTCTCGTATATAATCGTCGACTTAAATCGCGTTATCCAATAACGGAATTAAATAAGTGGAATAACGAGAATTGATTTGAGAATACATATATTTCGTACATGAAGTGAATGAAGCACAGCAAAGCAAAAATGACACGTATGGAAGATGGCTGGGAAGCCAACTCCATTTTAGTCAAGCGTCACTCAATATTTATAGTCAGACAAAAATAAACTACAAATATGTGATGAGTCATGGGATATGAAGTGTACACACATATACGCTCATATATAAAAAGTCAAGACTGATAAGTGAATAATTGACAAGGTCAAAATATGACTCAAGTAGAATGAATAAAATGGAATGTCCGAAAACTAGAATATAAGATATATGGGCTTAAAATAATGACTGACACTACACAAGCTCCACAAGTGCAGGTAAATTGGTAAATGCATATTGAGTTGGTCAGATGAGATAATTTATCTTTCAGATTTTCGGTGAACAATCATCGCCTGGAGAGTGATATTCGCAATGCTGCCGTGAATAATTGTCTTTTTAAGGAATCAGAAACTCTCCTCTTTAAGATATATCTCGCTCTATCACCTTTGATGTTGATGTTCACGTAAAAATTTTTTCTTTTGTACTGTGATTATTTGTGTTTTTGGCGTTTTCGGTTTTATATTTTTATCAATGAATATCGAAGGATTCCCGTTTTTGATAACTATCTCCTTAAAAAGGCCCAATTCTTCATTTACGACCTCGAGCTACAGATTCTTCATTTTCTTGTAGCGTCTTCTTCGCGTTGCCGAAGCAACAACCATACATCTGGAAAAACAAGATTTGTGTGTGCAAAAGAGATTGGTACAACCTCTCCTTCTACCATGGTCTTAATGCATTAAATTTTTTCCTCTCTTTTTCATACTCTTGTTCCTTTACAGCCATCTGCTTCACTTTCCATCTTCCCCTTAAATCCTCTAGCCTTAAATGTTTTATTTTGTTTCTACGATCCTCCTGATTACATTTAATCTCAATTTCAACATTTTATCATATCATGCTGAACCATCCTTTCCCAATGATAATTTCCCTATCTATCTTTTGATGAATACTTGAGCCATTAACAATCAAACGATTATTAAACTTTCCTCGTTTTAAAATCTTTTTAATACCTTTGTTTATTTAGCCTCACTGTCACCATGTATAACAAGTTTATCATCAGTATAATTATCAGCCTGTAAAAATAGGTATATATATTTGCGATTGTGCAGCTTTGAGAATGAGTTTCGTCGAAAAG